AACCCTCGATCTCCTGTTTACTAGACAGGCGCTTTAACCAACTAAGCCACGGCGCCGTTGAAGAAGTGTGAGTATTTACAAGTTATCAGGATATTTAGCAAATTCCAACATGCCTTGCATTTTGAATTTCAAAATGGAATCGTAATATTTTTAACATTTTATTACTTGGGTTTTGTATATGTTAAATATTTTTCTACATTTTAGATATATTATAATCTGTGTATTGAAAGAATAATAATATAAATATCTATATTATAAGATTATCGTGATTCAATATTACATATGAAAATATATATTTATATATAACGTAAAAAATATTGAAAAAATAATGTATGATTATAAAAGTAATATTTGTGATTAAGGGTTAAATTAAGATTTAATTAAATTATTATCTTTTATTAAATAACATTTCAAATGATCGCATAAAATAAATGAAACACATTATATGAATGAATAATTCAATACGATTTTTTAATATATAGTCAGAGTATTTTTAAATATAAATTATAAAAAAAGATTTTGTTATATTTACAATTTTAATTAATTTATAATAATTTAAGTCTTTTATTTATAAATTTATTAATGACAATTTTTTAAATTTTAATCTGAAACTTATAAAATTTGCTTTAGTTATTTGTAAATAACATAATAAAATTATACTTGGAATTGATATGCAAAATATAACGCCCCCGGGTGGGCTCGAACCACCAACCTTTCGGTTAACAGCCGAACGCGCTAGCCGATTGCGCCACGAAGGCGTTGATGCCTCGTAGCTCTTTAGAACTCAATAAGAACTACTGTTTTCTTTTCAAATAATTTTTTTTTATTTATACACGTATTTCATTTTTTTGCACAAGTGTACACGTATATATTATTTTATATACAAAGTAATAATAATATTTGATAAAATCAATCAACATAGGTTTGAATCTGTTATATATAATATCAAAACATTTTTTTATTAATAAGCATAATGATAATCATAACATGATTAAAACTATTTAATATTTATAATTATGTAATATCCCGTTTGATCTTATTTATTATCTATTTATGCGAAAAACGGAATAAATATATTAGTGAGATCCGCAAATTGCTTGGTGCATGCAAAGTGATTTGCAATTCATTTCCCGATAACGGCCGACAATGAATTGCATTAAGATTCCGCGTTTCTAGAATATCACTACCGACAAACGCACGCATCTACAAATCCAAATGCAGCGTACTATGATACGAATCGAACAGGTGTGTTAGCGCAAGAAAGAGATCGCGATGAAATATTGTTTTACATTGGAATAAATTCGTTATAGTCGTAGTTGTGTGTTGTGCGCGGCGATAATACACACATATATATATATATATATATAACGGGAAATAATCCGACATCGAAACCATATACGGTTAATTAAATGGGGTCGGCTCATTAGTAACTGTCTATATGCAAGGCGATGGGCGAGACGCGATTGGAGGGTGGTCCCAAGGTGATTTATCCGTCACGATGGATCGCAGATGTTCGACTGGTACGCGACGCGGGTCATCACGATACTGTAATTAGGATGATAGCGCTTCTATATGTATGCAGAACGAAAACACACATCCCATTCAGGCACATAATATTTGGGTTATAGGAAATAATACAGTTACAGTAACATCGTTCTCGAATTGGACCAAGAAATGTAAAATGTAAAATGTATCTCGTAAAACTAATAGGAGTCAACTAAAAACATTAGTGATTTATCAATTATATTCAATCTATTTTTTATATCTTTAAAATATCTTTCCTGCATTATGAGGAAATGTAAAATATTTCTATCATTGATCCAGTTATTGTAACTAATTATTCTAATTATTGTAAACGATCGGTAGCCCGTAAATATCGTATCGTAGTATCATTTAGTAACTCATAAATCGATATACATCATTATAGCAAGATTCGCTCTTAGATCTCCGTCGGATGGAGACCTTCTGGTTCGGCCATGGTGACACTAACGGTCTGTTTAAATTGTGTGTTTAATTACACAAGTAAGAGACAGTCGCCGCGAAATTTATCGGTCACTGTTACCGTCCCCTTCGTTCCTAATCTACGTAGCAGATATCTACGCTAAACAGAGGAGAACATATCCTTTGCCTGCAATAAGACGCTTCTCATTGCTTTTTAGTGCCTCTTCCCAAAAGCCAAAGCAATTAGATTTATCAAGCATGCACACATATAATTTACTAACATTATTACAGTTGTAACCAATGTTAGGCTAAATACGACTTGTAATATTGAGCATAGCTTATAATTATGATATTTAAGAATCACTATGCATTTTTTTAAGTTTTGTATAAAAATGGTTACATGTGTATTTTTACTTAATTTGCGCATAAAAATTCTAAAGAAATTAACAGCAGTATTCAATTTTAGTTAATAATATAATAGAGCAATGTCATATAAATATTAATACAAGTATAAAAAATAAATTCTGTTTAGAACATTATTTTTCATACTTATATTAATACTTATTATTATACATTTTGTTTTATATTTGTGAAAAAAAATTTTCTTCCGTGCAGTTGCGTATCTTCAGGATTCTGCATATCTTTGGGGTTCTTTTTAATTATCAAAGAATTCTTGTTACACAAGACTGAGTACTTGTATATATCGCTAAGGTTAGAGAATACATGGATCTTGCTTCTTATTGGATAGGAATTTATGGCCATAAATCTAACTGGTTCCCGTCGAGAGGTTGAGCTTCCTCCTGGAAGTTTACAGTCCCTCGTTCTCTCTATCCTGTAACCAACATCCGCTCCGTCTCTCTTGTTCGCGTTTTCCATCCCTTCCCGACACGGAAAGCACGGTACTTTACAGGCCATGGTGGGTGTCTATGATGAAAGTGTGCACGTTCTAGGATACACCGAACTTGTAACGATGTAACGGGTGAGCATTGCACCGAAATCATGATGAATTCATTCAGAGTGCGAATTAACGTCCGGTCGGGGGTAAGTTTCGCTAAATGCCCGGAAGAGAGAACGCACGCAAAACCGGCGATCATCAATATTCCATTATGGTAAACCAAAGTTGAGATTTAGCAAATTTGTTCATTCAAGAAATCACTAGAATTTATTAACTATCTCAGTTATCAATATTTTAGTTTGTTATAAATATGTGTCGATTACACATTTCTTTATTTTCTGTCATTATTAATTAATAAATGTTACATTTTTTATTTGTTTAATGTTATTAATTAAATTTAATTAATATTGTAAGATAAGTAATGACTTTTCTTTTAAAACATGTACGTTATCTTGTA